TTAGTTCTAACGTTTGAGTATGGAGCAGAGGAAGGAGTTTAATTTGCTGAACGCAGAGATGTTTCTGTAGAGCCACCTGGAATGCTTAGCCACAGCCTCCTTTTGGATTACGTGGTCTAGGGTTTATAACATTGCCAGCACCAGATGCAGCAGTGGCAATGAGAACGTACGTGTGTTTTTGGAAGACGGTATCTGGGCTCCCAGATGCAATATTAGTAGTGGGATGCTAGCCAAAGCAGCGAGATTAAATGAGGGTTTAAAGGAAGGGGCTTGAGGTCATGCAGTGCACAGGAGACTATTCCAGATGCAAGATACAGCAGCTTGAAGAGGCATTAGTTTGTGCGGGCAAAAGAAACAGTAAGGGTCTTAAGAGCATTAGTCAGTTGTCTGTATAATCTTTTTCGCTCATTACCAAACTCTCTCTCACTTGATTTGTAGCTAATTTCCTTCTTATGCCGCATTTCTACCTCAGGAAACCAGGGTTTCCTACCCCCGAAGCCTGTAGCTTGGGTTCAAGAGCGCTGCTCGTAACTCTGAGAGTAACATTGGCCTTCTGAGGGTTAATTGCACTTCAGCTAACACCCTGCTTTGAATATCGGGCTGTTTTGTTGGGGGAGAGCATTTGCCTTCTGAAAATGGGAGAGCTGAACCACTCGGAGAGGCTTTTTCATGTTTTCATTTTCAAAAGAGAATGACAGTTACTCAGTTTTATAAAAATTTAAACCCCTTCAGTTTAAAGGGCCTTAAATATTGTATGCAGTCGGCTTTGGGATATACAGAGCAAAGGTGGAAAGAGGGAGCAGAGAGGAGTCTTCCTGTTGAGGGCTGAAGGTGCTCAGGAACCTTTGGAGGAACAGACAGCAGTTTTGCATAGGAAAGTCTGGCTTATCTACCAGATGGTAAATTATTATAGAGCACTAAAGAGCTGCAAAAAGATCAAGTCTATAAAGCATCTGGTAGAGTAACTGACAATTCATCAGTTTTGCATGGTGCAAGTTGTATGTATCTCATGGGCTCGAGAGGAAAGTTATAAATCTGTCAAGCCCGAGACTGGAGAGAACTTGAACGCATTTGCTGAAAGGAGACAGAAATCAAGAGACAGACCTATTCTTTAGCTGAGATTTTTGTGTTCCTGAGAGTTGCTCCTGAATGAGGGCGTGGAGGTGCCATTCACATGACTTCTGAGCAATCTGCACTCAAGATGCACCATTAGATCAGGCGCTTTTGTTGTTAATGGAAGTGAATGAAAGAGGAAAAGCTCTCTGAAAGCTATTCATTCCCAGTGTGGTCTGATATACACCTAAGGTGTTTTCAGCACCACCTGTAAAACTTGTTCTCTGTCCTAATCTGAGAGAGTTTGACACACATCATTAGTTTTGACCCAGTAATTTCAACCCTTAGTCTCTTAAAATTCTGGCTGCTGTTGAGCCAGATATAATACTGCTTAACGTGTGCTTCAGTGGGTTTGTTTTTCTGGACTGCACAAATTAGCACCGTACACACAGAATTTAGAGACATAATCTTCGCTCTTAATCCAGGCACCACTTCTCGTTCCCTCGTGTGCCATATTTGGAGAGCTGGCTAACACTGGGCAAGCTGCTTGGGGATCAAATTGAGTTTCCCGTTAGAACGAGTTGATGCTTCTGTAAGGATACAGCTATCGGTATCTGTCTCTGCAGTGTAAGACACGTTAATGGTACTTTTAGTAATTCTTTGGTGAGAGACAAATGAGGATTTGAAGGTTGGAGATCAACAGAGAGAACTGAATGCGCGGCTGATATGAAGAGCCTCTCTTTCAGCATGCAAAATCTTTCCACTGAGCTTACTTGGATTTATTTTTTTCATTGAGATAATAAAAGCAGGATGAGATGATCAGTATTCTCTCTGCATCTAGGCTAGAACTAGGTTATTTTGTAAAGTATTTTCAGATGTCTTGGCTGTAGGAGACTTGCATAAATAAAGATTTCTTTGTATTGTGTGATGATATAACGTGTGAAAAGATTTACTGTGCAAATATAGAAACAAAATGGAGAAAAATTGTGATCTGCTGTTTGTTAGTATGATGCAACGTAAATATTTACCTAGATGGATTCTTCTGAGATTTCCTGTGGATTTCCCTGAACGCTGTCATAGCTGGCGTTTTTTGAACACTTTATGTTTTTGTTAAAGTAAACATGTTCATGACATGCAATACTTTCCTCCATAAAAAGCTCTGTCATTCTCAAAAAAAATTAAAAAAGATTTCCAAAAATCCAGTGAAACATAAATATACCTTGTTAGAGTGGACTTAAACATACTTCTGAAATGTCTGTGAGCAGGAGTAGTGTGGTGGGTCATGGCATGTACAGTGTGCACTCACAGGTACTTTGCTTCAAGGATACAGCACCCAGAGTCATGTTACTTGTGTGTACAGCGCTAGACACCTCATTTCACCAAGGCACTGCTGCAGACTCAGGAGACCTTCAGTCTCAAGTCTTTACCCCATCGCCCTGCTGGTTGCTACTGAATTTCAGGCTAACATCTGCCAATGTGAGATGATTTTTTTTTTTTAATGCTATTAACGCTTTGTTGCCAAGTTTCAATAACTCTTGTAGCTTAGCTAAGGAGGGTCTCATTGACTCCTGAAGGACTCTTGAGCCTGCAATGAGATGCCCAGTGCTGAAAGACTGACACCCCCCCCCCCCCAGTCCCCCTGAAGTATGCTAGCTCCTTTAAAAATCCATCTTAACAGACAAACTGTAGACAAACTTTTACCTTTAAATAAAATGGATATATTCTATAGAAAAGATGAAGGAGCAGATACACGGGAATGACATTGCTTTTAAATACTTGTCTTCTGGTTGAATTTCAAGGAATTTTTTGTATTTCTATATCCAAGCAGATGCCCAAGTCAAGCCCATTCCCAAGACAATTTACTTTGCTTTGGAGAAGGCCTATCTAATCCTCAATCCTTTAGTAAGATCCGTCTCTCCATTTTGAGGAGGATGAAGCTTAGCTCTTGGCTTGGGGGTAAGGCTTCTCAAAAGCTTTCTACCAGGATATTCAGGAGCCCTCTGAGTGGCAGGTGATGCACTTCAGCTCCTGTCTCTTGTTCTTGAACCCATCTCAGGCACAGATGCCGCTACAGAAGGATGCTCCTGGTGTGTGCTGGCCTGGTTGTGGGGGCAGCTAGATTTAACATGGAGTTCTCTATAAACCATCCTAATACGCGGTCAAGCATGTCTCTCTCGGGCAGACGGACAAAGAGTTACATGAGCTTTAGTCTCTGTTTCTTGTACCGTGCACCTTCAGAACTATTTGTTGTGTGAACATATAAATAAGAACAACTAATGGATTTATTTATAGGCCATAATAGAGACTGGACATAAAGAGATGATGGTGCATTTGTGGCACGTGACCCTTAAAAATGGCTTACTAGATGTGGGAGCATCAGGATGGTGCCATGCTGCTCAGATAGGGAAGATGGTTAAATTTCACTTAGAAATATCTCTATTTATGTATCTACAGTGCACTTTGTGATATCAGCAGTTATTCTGTGTATTATATTTGATCATTTTCCTTTTTTCTCCCCATCTCTTGGTTTACAGGAGTGAGTCTCTGTCTGTAACGCTGGATGTGCTGACCACTTGCCTCAGACGAAGAGGACTCGCTCTGGTTTGGAATATGGTGCCTAACTTCTGTGTCCCAGTATTCA